ATCCTAGATGGAATGATGTTTATAGCTGCTCCATTGTCGACAAGTACTTTTGCCACTGGGATGCCGTTAACTAGAGCTTTAACGTACAATGACCTCAAGTGTTTAGTCAATTTTATGGCTGGCCATTTAAAAATAATCTTTTCGGCAGCCTCTATTTCTACTTCCTGCTTGTTTTCTGTCGAATTATCCCCCTGTGATGAGTCGACGTGCAGTATATTGCGCTGATCCTCTGTCTCCTGAACTTCCTTCTTACTTTTTCTAATGCTTCCTCATCAGTTACCCAACCTGTGGGAGGGGGCATTATTCTTGGAGGTGACCCATACTTTTCAGAGTGAGGCACTCTCTTCTTCCTTTTGGGTGTCCCGTACAGTACGTAGAAATCGAAAGGACGCCCAGATAGTTCTCCCAACAAGTCTACTTCGCGAACTCCTTGATGTAGTTGCTTCAACAGAGTATTGCGTGATACTCTTCTCTTTCTTCCTTCTGCTTCTAGGTCGATTTCTTCTTCAATGTCTGTCATCCCGTCGTCTTCTTCATTGTTGTAGGCCTCTCTAGAAGTCTGGTCTTCTTCACATTCCAGCACGCAAGCCTCTCCTTCGTTGTCCTCCCTCTCTTCTTCTTTTTCTTTACTCTTGAATTCATTGGCCAGTAAGTAATTATTGGCCACGACAGGAGGTAACGTACCGAACTGGACGGTAAGGGGCTGATCTGGATCTTCTCAATCCCTTCTGTCCTGCTTAAACTTTGATCTCCCAGAAGAAGTTTCTGGCAGTTCTTTCATTGATTCATCTGTACCGGTCTCTTCACTATCTTTGAGGACATTTTCATTGGCTACTTTGAGTAGTTTAGACGCTTTAGGATGTGGCACTCCCTGTTGCTGCCTCATCATCCGTCCATAGTTTCGTTGGAAACGCTTTTGTTGGATTCTAGTCATCTCATCGAAGGGTATTGCCCTTCCTGTATTATACTGGAATGAATGCCATATATTTGGCCGGCGAGGTTGTGGCCTGAATGTTCTTCCATTATCTGCTGGCCTGAACTGCCTCTCAAAAGGCGATCCTCTATAGAATGATGTACCTCGCCCTCTACCAGGCTGAGTGTTTGGGAAGAAGGTAGGGCGATGGAGATGCTGCCATATCCTTGGTTTCTCCGTATTGCCATTCATTTCTCTTTTACATCTTGCACACAGGACGTCTTCGTCCTTTTTTGGTTTTTTCTCCTTGATTCGTTCAAAGACACTGGGATGTGGTCTAGGATCCTCTTCTCCATCATCTACGACCAACTTGAATTTTGGCAACTTGTTTTTGAATCCAAACGTCACCATATTCACTCCAAGTGGCTGTGGAAAAGGATTTTCATCCACTGCCATCTTCGTCTTATCGTTGAACCTAATTCGTCCTGATTCAATGGCATCCTGCAATACATGGCGAAAAATCAAGCAATTGTTAGTCAAATGTGACCATGCATTATGCCACTTACAATATTTTTTACCCTTAATTTGTTCAGGGTTTGGCAATTTGTGTTTATCGCTCAACTTTATCTGCTTATCCCTATATAATTTATCAAATATAAGGTCAGCTTTGGTTACATCGAACGAGAACGTTCTAGCCTTTATGTTTCCATCTTTTATGGGCTCATATTTGCCCGATGGTCTAGGCTTGGCCATTATGGGACAAGTATACGTATCTCCTTTGACCAATTCGGCCAACACATTTCAGCCTGGTCATATGACTTGTCACTGATGGTATGAACATCAAAATTTGGGTCTTTGTAATAAGTCCATTTACTAGAATTTTTCATCTGTTCTTCTTCTCTTATCAGTCGTTCATACCTAATCACATTCGCACTCAATTGGAAAAGGTCAGGAAATTCTTTGTCCTGGAATTTCTTTTTTAAATCAAAGCTCAAACAGTCCTGAGCGATTTTGACAAATTCTTTTTTGGGCAGAGGTACAAAACACTTGCTTCTTGCTGTCTTGAACCTTTGGAGAAAACTTTCTGCCCATTCGTTTGGAATTTGATGTAGATTTGCCAAATCAGCCAAAGTGACTTCAGACTCAATTTTATAAAACTGAGCGTGAAATAGCTGTTCCAATTGTTGCCATGTTTGAACAGAGTTCGCTGGCAAGTTGATGAACCAGGAGAAAGCTACTCCTGTTAACGAACTAGGGAAAAGCCTCATTTTATGGTAATCAGTTACATCACCACTTTGCAATAGAAATCGCCCTATGTGTTCTAGTGTAGACACCTCTCCTAAACCGGTAAACAGTGATAATTCTGGCACTTTGTACTCTCTAGGTCATGGATATGCTTGATCTACCCAATCAAGATATGGCTTTGTGTACGTCGGCCTAATGACGGGACGCACCCCAAAAGCCATCTGATCCTGTACGATTTCCATAATCTGATTCCTCAACATGACGTTGGGATCATATGGAATTCCTACAGACTGGTTAACCGGTTGATTTGCATGAGGCCTGATGTTTGGTCATTGATTGACAACAAAGTTACCATGATTAGGGTCATTACCATTAGCCTGAACATCTATTCCCTCATTAACACGTGGGGTATTCTCTCCATTGTTTATGACACTATCTCTTATGTTTGGATTACCCCCCAAGTTAGGCGTACCACTACCATTATTCTGATTTGGCACTGCAGTACCCCCTTGATTTGAAGTAGAGGGACCAGAAAGTGGTTCTACCCCTTGATTCAGATTTAGGACTGAGGGATTATGTCCCACAATTGTCCTAGTTTGAAAGTGATTTGCAAGAGGTATAACCGGTTGACATATTTGGCCTACTAACTTATTCATTGTTTCGTTCAAAGTGTTTAGTTGTTCGGCCATGTTGTTATAGTGTGCATTCCCATTTTGGGTAAATCTTTCCATATTATGAATACTTCGAAGATTTACCTGTTCAACAACGTCTTGTGTGAGTTTTCCAAGTAACGCACGCATGGTTCGAGGACTCAACTTCGTCATTGGTTCGTAACGACTGTTACTACTCTGATTCTGTCTATCTGTTCGTGGAGAGGCATGCTGCTCCTCATATCACTCGATCACATACTGGACTCCTCCCTGACTTGCTGCTTCCTTATCGGATCTCTAAGGCATATTGTTTCACCTTTTGTACCTTCAACACCAAATACCACTGTCCCACCGGGCGTGCCAAATTGTTTCGCGCGGGTTAGTCGCTAACAATTAAAAGGGATCAGACGATTGTGTAAGAGACAAATCTCTTGAGATAAAGTCCCAAAAAGGGGTGTTCTTTTATTGGCGATGACTTTACAATTGGAAATCAAAAACAAAATGCTCCAAGGGGCGCAAGCACACGAGTTACTGAAAAAAGTGTTTAAGTCTAAAACTAAGGAAATTAAAATTACATATTCTCTGTTCGAGAGTTTTTTATTCGGTCCTTTGCTGTATGTCCTTTTTCCCTTTTATACTCCATGGATGATCTTTTTTGTGATCAACCGCCTAAAAACTGCTTGATCGTTCTGCAACTGCTCACTTTCCTCATAATGGCCAGCTTGTCATGAAAACTGCCTTTTTTAACTGCTGCCACTACTCTTCGTCGTTCAACCGTTTTCGATTGAAATCCTTAAATCGTGGAACGTGATAGGACTGCTTTAATAACTGCTTTGATAACTGCACTTCTTGATAACCACAACGCTTTATGTTTGTTAAGACTTTGGGCGACTTGAAGGTTTGGGCGAGAATAGAGTAACAGCTCTGGGCGACTGCATGGCACTCCATTCGCTCAGATTTTGGGCGACTTGCAAACTTGGGCAATGGCGTTACCGCGTTCTTGGGCCTCCCTATTTGGGCCTTCATCTTGAATTGTTTGATTGAGCTTCGTTCTTTGGGCTATCTGATTTAGGGATCCTCCAATTGGGCTTCATTCTTTGGGCCGTCCGATTTGGGCTGAATTTTTATGTGTCAACACTATGATATATTTCGTTGTTGTTTTAATGTTAGTTTTTTAAGTTAGCAATGAGTCACATAATACACCTTTGAATTTTGTCGCTGGGGGCCTACTTTTCATCGCTCGCCTCATGGCCCATCAGACACAGGACTGGCTCTACCTACCATCTTCTGTCTTTCCCATCATTGCCCATTTGTGTACATCACGTTTTTATTTGGTCAGTATCTCAATTAAATTGAGCTAAATTTTGCTTTTAAACTTGAATTGGTGCTTAGGAATTTCAACAAGAAATGTCTCCTCGAGAAAATCCATGACAATTATGTGAAAATTTGGACAACTAGACATCTCAAAAATTGATAAGGGAAGAATCAGACTTTCATATGATATTTCTTTAAGGATCATGCTATATGTATATTTTGTTTGACATTTTTTTTGACATTGTGTCACATGTCTTTTCATGAGTGGACAGTTTTTAAATGCAACACACTTTCACACCATTGCAATTTAAAAATGAATGGAGTGTCAACAATTATGTTGATCAAATAATGTACAAATGACTTAATCCTTTCTTTAATCCAAGTGGCAAATTTTGTTAAATAGCAAGATCAATTTTGCCATAAGTAAAAAAAACTTTCAAATAACTTTGGAAGATTAAGGCACGACTCTTAATTCACTAATTCTTATAACTGCTAGTCAATCGAAAACACCTAGAAAACACTTACATCATTAGACAACCTGATTTATGTGAAGTACTAATTTTGCTATTCACACAAAATAAGGAGAATCAAGAGTGCAATATTTCATTATTTTTATTTATGCATACAATTTATTCCGAAATAAATATAAAGGCCTGTTTGGGAGTATTTTTTCACTAAAAAAATTAATTTTTTGACCGTTATTTCGCTATTTCAGTCGTCATATTTGACTTCTTCTCTCACAAGTGAACTCTATTTTTTTTCTAATCGTCAAAAAATCAATTATCAAAATCACTCCCAAACAGGCTCTATATTTTAAAATTATAATTTCAAGAGCAATAATCACAAATTATTAACACACGGTGAACCCGCGTCGACAGATTTCCCGGCACCGTTGAACCGTTTCCCAAAAGAAATACCCGTCCCCACCACACAGAAAACACCCGCCGTCTGTCCCTTCCTCTGTATATAAAGCAAAACCCTCATTCTCTCCCCTATAGGGCTTCGCTTTTACGCCGTAGGCTCTATTCATTACCCTCCTCTCTCTCACACACTAGCAAGAGTGCGATGGCGCAGTCTCTAGAGTTGCTACTGATTCAATTCTTGATGCCCGACAATGACGCGCGGCGGCAGGCGGAGGACCAGATAAAGCGGCTGGCCAAGGATCCGCAGGTGGTACCGGCGCTAGTACATCACCTCCGCACTGCCAAGACACCCAATGTGCGGCAACTAGCCGCCGTGCTCCTCCGCAAGAAGATCACAGGACACTGGGGTAAACTCTCTCCCCAACTTCGACAACTCGTCAAGCAGTCCCTCATCGAAAGCATCACCATGGAACACAGGTTCGTATGATATTTATTGTTGAATTTTATTTTTTGTGAATAACTATTGAGCAATGAGTTACATGGGAAATTACTTTACGTTTGACTATTTTTTCTGTTGAGTTTATGCACGCTGCTGAACAGTGGTAAGTTATAGCGTTATCCCCCATTCTGGATTGATTATCTTTTTCGTGAAATTTAATTCCAAAGCTCCAATATATGCCTCTAGGCAGAGCTTGCGTGTTTTATTCATTGAATTTCTTAGTGTTTCTCCAAATTCATCACTATTCAATTCATTATAAATCAATTGATCTCTCCACGATTTTTTTTTCTCATTATTAAATACAAATTCCTGCTGAATCGTGCCGTATATATTGATGACATACTTATCTTTGTAAAAACTTTGAAAGAGGTAGTTGTTTTTGGGTACCAAATCATGCTATAAGGTAGGAATTATGTTCATTATTGTTGTTAGACGTTTTTCTTTAACTTGTGGATTTTTTTGGTCAAAATGATTCACACGATGGCTTTTCTTTTTCCAGTCCGCCGGTGAGACGAGCTAGTGCAAATGTGGTGAGTATCATTGCAAAGTATGCTGTTCCGGCTGGAGAATGGCCTGATTTATTGCCATTTCTATTTCAATGTAGTCAAAGTCCTCAAGAAGACCACAGAGAAGTATGTTTTTCCTGGTCTTGCTTTTGCTGAATTCCTTTTAACTTCTCCTAATACTTGATATTTCGCTTTTGCTGTTTCTGTTGCACTTTCAAATCTAAAGGGTTTTACATTTACCAAATAAGTGACTCAGTCTAGTTCTAATGTCACCTCTCCTAACAAACAATCAATTTTTGGAAATACTTGTACACTACTTATCAATCAATATCCAGCTGTACAAACCAAGAGGTGAAAACTAGCAACAACACCCTTAGCTGTACGTACATACTAGAGTAACTATATCACCTTCTAGACTTCCAGCATGAACTCGTATTCTCATTTTCATGCAGCAAATTTCCATCTTTCTTCTCTTACTGTCACAGTTAGCAGTTCAAATCTCCTTGATACTCTGAACTAGTGTTTGTCAAATCTCGTTCTTTATCTTTCCTGGAAACTTCCTCAACTGTTCAAATCTTTGGCAGTTTCTCCCCAGTAGCAGGCACCATCACTTGCCCATCTTTACTTTCCCAGCATTGTGGACAATAAATTTGCATAAAACTTGCATCCAACATACTGAAAATCTGAATACATCTTTTTTATTTCCCACTTTTTGGAAGATCATAAATTACGCAATTTTTACTAAGGATCTGTTTGATTGTAAGAATGGAATTTCGGTGGAAAGAAAACGAATTTCAGGGAATTGAATTGCCTAAAATTTGTTTTCCTGGGAATTATCAATTAAATATATTTGATTGGTATAATTTTTCACCTGAAAATGATGGAATTTTTGATCTTTTGGTGTTTGTATGACTTTGTTTTTCATGAAAATTGTCAATTAAAGGGATATAATTTTTTACAATTGTGGAAAAATTTGTTCCCATTGCTGGGGAATAAAAATATCAAAGCTTTCCACCACCAATTCATGGAAAATGCACATGTGGGGGAAAAGATGGAAAAGGTTTTCCATGGAAAAGTTTGCTATCAAACACTCAATTTTGGTGGAAAATGGAATTATTTTCTATGGAAAACTCAAGCTTTCAAACAGGCCTAAGTGAATGAAGGATACATTGTGCTACTAAATTTATGCATATCGTGTGAGAAGCATTCCATGAAATCTACAGGTAAGAGATGAAGGGCTACATTTTTCATGATCAACTGTCAGTTAAAAGGAGAAGTGAATTTTGATTCTAAATCCCTTTTGTACTGATGACTGAGGATCATTCTTGAGCTATGGCAAATCATACATGGCTAGTGCTAATTGCCATCATGGATGAAATCCTGATTTAAATTTTTGACATATGAATATCCAGAAATTGCTGTATATGTATCCCCTCTGCCAAGGAGAAGTCCTGTCAACAGAGAAACATCAAGTCCTATATGGCAAAAATCTAGATCTTTTTTGTTATTTTTCTTTTTACATTTTATGTACCTAGTATAACAGGCTAAAAATGGTAGCTTATTCTTTCTGATACAGGTGGCATTGATACTTTTCAGCTCCTTGACTGAAACAATTGGGAATTCATTCCAACCCTATTTTACCGATCTACAATCTCTCTTACTCAAGTGCCTTCAAGATGAGACTAGTAACCGTGTTAGAGTTGCTGCTCTCAAGTAATAATTGTTTTGAAAAATTTGACTGACTTCTATTGAGATGATGAAAAAGATGCTTATGTATTTTATGTATCATCTCATCAGGGCAGTTGGTTCTTTTCTCGAGTTCACTCATGATGAAGTAGAAGTGGTGAGTTATTTTATTCAACTATGTCTACATGCTGATTGTAGTCTCATCCATAAGATCAATGCGATCTCGGTAGAACATGGCAAAATGTGGATAGTTAAACTAACCCACGTTTGGCCCCCATTAAATTTCATCTTATCAAATTAAAATTTCCTCTCCTATTTTCAACCATACAATCTTCAATAAAATAATATTGCACGTAAATCGAAAACTTTTCATTCTTTTACAACTATTCATTTTTCAAGAAAAAACTATTCCCCTCATTATAATCAAAATTAATAGGGGCCAAACGGGGGCTAATACTAACATGGTCTGATGTTGCAAAACATTCATTCACTAAAATTCTATTAAAAGTATGCTTGATCATTAGGATGGGTGAAAAAGGATCTGTTCCTCGATTTTTTTGAGAATAAGGCTTGACTTGTCATTGTCTGTCTTTAGATTTCTTTGCCAAATTCAATTTTCCTTGGTAATTATAATGATTCTTTAACATATTGAATGATTGAATTGGCTCTTTATATTAGATAAATCCTCTTATAACGATTTTTTCCCTAATATATCCTCCCTTATCCAGCCCCTCACACAAAAGAGAAAGTCTTATCTTGTGAGAGTTCATATTCCTATGGGATTTAGCACTGTTATCATGTCACAGTGCGATCTCTCTGTTCCATAAGAAGGAGAAGCTCGAAACAGTTGGCTATATCATGATATTTCTTGTGTTAATGTGAGGCGTGCTTTTGATTGCTTCATCATTTCTTTATGAGGGCATAATTTCGAGCCGAACATGTAACTGTAACCCTTATGAAATGAAAATGGATGATCTACAACAAACCGTGTTGATAAGCTGGTTCTTTTAGTTACTATTTTAGTAGCATTATGCTCTAATATGGCAGAATCATTGTTTTTGGGCATTCTTGAGGCTAACACAATACTCTAATCTTGAAGATCAAGTTTCGTGAGTTCATTCCCAGCATTTTGAACGTATCGAGACAGTGCATTGCTTCTGGTGATGAGGATGTTGCTGTGATTGCATTTGAAATATTTGATGAGCTAATTGAATCTCCTGCTCCTCTTCTTGGTGAATCTGTCAAAGCCATAGTTCAATTTTCTCTCGAAGTTTGTTCAAGTCCAAATTTGGAAGCTAATACACGCCATCAGGTCAGGAGAGTCCACTACAATCCAATCTACTTAATTAATTTTAGCATTGAACTCGTAGCTATGTTGTCTTTTTGTTATTGAAGCTGTTACTTTACTATTTTTCATGTTTCGTTTCTTATATCAGGCTATTCAAATAATTTCATGGCTTGCGAAGTATAAATCCATTTCGCTCAAAAAGTACAAGCTTGTTGCACCAATCCTGCAAATTATGTGTCCATTGCTTGCAGAATCAACTAACAGGGATGAAGACGATGATCTTGCCCCAGACCGAGCTGCTGCAGAAGTCATCGATACCATGGCTCTAAATCTGTCAAAGCAAGTGTTCCCACCTGTTTTTGAGTTTGCTTCTCTTAGCAGTCAGAGTGCCAATCCAAAATTTAGGGAAGCTGCGGTTACATCTTTAGGTGTTATTTCTGAGGGCTGCCTGGAGTTGATGAAAAACAAACTGGAACCTATTCTTCATATTGTCTTGGCTGCCCTTAGAGATCCTGAGCAAATGGTACGAGGCGCTGCATCCTTTGCACTGGGTCAATTTGCTGAGCATCTGCAGCCTGAGATAGTATCTCATTATGAAAGTGTTCTTCCTAGTATTTTGAATGCCTTAGAGGATGCGTCTGATGAAGTTAAGGTACTGACATAATAAATCTAGCAATTATACTATACCACTCTCTCTCTCTCTGTACTTTCTAACGTTTTACTTATCCTTTGGCAGGAGAAGTCATATTATGCATTGGCAGCATTTTGTGAGAACATGGGTGAGGAAATTCTTCCTTTTCTGGATCCCTTGATGGGAAAATTAGTTGGTGCCCTCCAAAGTAGCACCCGTAATTTGCAGGAGACGTGCATGGTAAGAGTTGACTGTATTTGCTTAGAAGTTTAGAGCACTAAACTTCTAAGTTTCACTGATCTTTGCTTGATTTTATTGCAGTCTGCTATTGGTTCAGTTGCATCTGCTGCAGAACAAGCTTTTATTCCATATGCTGAAAAGGTTCTTGAGTTGATGCAAATCTTCATGGTTCTTACAAATGATGAGGACCTCCGGTCACGAGCGAGGGCTACTGAACTGGTTGGAATAGTTGCAATGTCTGTTGGGAGGGCAAGGATGGAGCCAATTTTGCCTCCTTTCATTGAAGCTGCAATATCTGTATTAAATTGTTGCTTTGATATTAACGAAGTTATTAGTTTTTGGTACATTCGATTGAGGGGTTTTATATTTCAGGGTTTCGGGTTGGAATTCAGTGAGCTTCGGGAGTACACTCATGGATTCTTCAGCAATGTTGCAGAACTTTTAGATGATGGATTTACTCAGGCATAATTTATCTCATGCCATCTTACCCTTTTATGCACTTGTTATTTTAAATCTAAAATTATGCATCACATTTTGGAACAGTATCTTCCACATGTAGTTCCTCTGGCATTTTCCTCCTGCAATCTGGATGATGGCTCTGCAGTGGATATTGATGATTCTGAGGAGGATGAGAATGTCAATGCATTTGGTGGAGTCTCATCTGATGATGAAGCACATGATGAACCGAGGGTTCGCAATATCAGTGTAAGAACAGGGGTTTTGGATGAAAAAGCAGCAGCTACACAAGCTCTTGGATTATTTACTCTCCACACGAAGAGTTCCTATGCACCGTATCCTTCACACTTTCCTCTGTCTATATTTATTTTACTTATATCCTGAGGTAAACAGTAAACATTAATTTTTGGATGCCTTATTATATAATTAAGGTACTTAGAGGAGACCTTTAAGATTATGGTTAGACATTCAACATATTTCCATGAGGACGTCCGCCTTCAGGCAATTATTGCTCTGAAATGTGAGTTTCAGTTTGCTATGTACTTTTTCTTTTTATTGTGCATCTGATAATCCTGTGTTAAATTTCACATTTTCATGCTTTATGCTTTTGTCTGAAGATACCAGTAATAAAATAAAAACAGTAAAATTTTGTAGAAGCATATCGAACTTTAGAAATTCCTGGGTTGGAAGCCCCAACATATTTTACATGCCCTTGCTGTAAAAGAAAAGATGCAACAGATCACATCATTTCTATCATTAAATGGAGCCCAACACTCACCCTTCCCACGCCCAAAGCATGTCTTGGGAAGAAAGAAAAGATCTCCTGAATTCTCGTTTTCTTTTGAGTGTTGTCTTATTGAAGTTTTGGGAATAGGATGACATTAGCTTCCTCAATGGCGGAATGTTGTTGTCTTGAAATGGATAATTATCGTAATATGCTACATTTTAAGTCTTAACAGCTGTTTTGCTTTTTTATGCTGTTCCCCAAAATGAATGCTATATGCTCTGGCCTTTGGTATCTAATGATGTTTGTTAACTTGTATATCTTCAATACGCTAAATTGTCAGTTGTCATATGTAACATATCTAGAAGAAAGTATGACCACAGGTTTAAGTTGATATATACACCTGTAATAACTTTCAACTGGCTTTATAGCTTTCTCCTGGTCATTTTGTCTAGGATTATGGTTTTCTAAAAGGAAATTTAGCTTCTCCTGAATCTTCATTTTCCTTTGCACATCTGAACCTAATAGCTGTTCTTGCATTTTGATTGATGGATGATGCCCTCCATTTATATTAACTGCCCTCTCATGTTTTATTAATATGGCGTGGCAGATATATTGATGGTTTCTCACGCAGTTTTCCAAGGTCATAATGTGAGTGCGAAATATCACCCCTTTCCACTCTTTGATTATGTTGCTCATCATTCACTATTCATGATGTGTGGGCAAATTTTGATTATTCTTCTAGTTCAAACAATTTACGGCTTGTATTATCACCACTTTGTTAAGTACATCGATTTTTTTTCTAATTCTTTTAGATTTGGCCATTGTTTGGGCTAAAAAAGTTGACAAAAATCAAATCAAAGTCAACAATTAATTTTAACCACACATTTCATAGACCAAAAACTTATATCAACTTTTTAATTACATTTCATCAACTTTTATCTAAATCTAATAAAAATATGATTTTGAGCAAAATGAAAAAGAGGCCTAGTTTTTTTTGCATGTTTGCAATTAAATTGATTAAAATGGCATCCATTACTCGAGTTATTTAGTTGTTCCTTCATGTCATGAAATCCTTTTGGGCGACATCCATTCTGTCTGGCTGGATATTCTTACTGAAATCACAGATTCACTTGTTTTCTGCAGGAAGGAATTGCAAAGACAAAAGAAGTTCTTGGTAAGTATCAATTATTTAACATTCACTAACTTAGATTTTTTATTGTATGCTTATTCCTAAAGCCTGTGAAAACCTTTACCATCTCTTGTGACAGATACTATGATGAATATTTATATAAAAACAATGATTGAAGATGATGACAAGGAAGTTGTTGCTCAAGCTTGTATGAGCATTGCTGACATCATGAATGATTTTGGGTTCATGGCTGTTGAGCCTTGTGAGTGCAAAATCTGGTGGTCCTTTTTTTTTTTTTTTTGATCCTGAAATATCTATTTTTCCTGTGAAGAAGCTTACCAGCTGTTCTCCCTTTTTCCTATGTTCCTATGGCAGACTTTCCTCAACTAGTTGAAGCAACTTCGGTATTGCTTAAAGGGGAGTCAACATGTCAACAGATAGAATCTGACAGTGAGATTGATGACGACGATCCTGAACATGACGAAGTGCTCATGGATGCTGTTTCTGATCTCCTTCCTGCATATGCAAAGGCCATGGGCGCTCAATTTGCTCCTATCTTTTCGCAACTGTTTGCACCTTTGATGAAATTTGCAGTTAATAAAAGCTGCTTACTGTATTGCATCTGAATATGAATCTCTGCACTTGTTTTGTTTCATTTCTCACTGGTTTCTGTAATGGCAATTGTAGAAAGCATCAAGCCCACCTCAAGATCGTACGATGGTTGTTGCGACCCTAGCAGAAGTTGCCCAGCATATGGGTGCTCCAATTGCTGGCTATGTTGATGTAATGCTGAGCGATTAACAGTGCATTTTCCGTTACTTTCTGGTCACATGATATTAATGTAATGGATATACTTCAAATTTCAGGCTGTGATGAACATTGTACTTAAAGAATTAGGGTCATCTGATTCCACTAATAGGAGGAATGCAGCATTTTGTGTTGGTGAATTGTGCAAAAATGGTGGGAACTCTGCTTTGAGGTATCCTTCCATATGTCTAATGCATAATTACTTTGACTGCCGTCGTACCCATATTCTTCCCATTCACAGCGAAGAATTCTCCCATACTTCTTCTCTCTCTATCTATAATGTTGCTATTGGGGTTGCGATGGTGACTGTGTGATGGTTGATCCTTATCTTTTTGCATTTGTCTTGCTCACATTCCTAACTTAGCTTAATTGCTAATATATTTCATCCTCTTTTCTTTCATGTTTACTCATATCTCCTTACATATCTAATAGATACTATGATGATGCTCTACGTGGCCTTTATCCATTGTTTGGGGAATCAGAGCCGGATAATGCAGTTAGGGACAATGCCGCTGGTGCAGTGGCAAGGATGATTATGTTTCACCCGGAGGCCATTCCTTTGAATCAGGTTCACCTTCCAATTCTTTACTTTGAAGTTGTGCTTATATTTTGCCCTAATTTTATTTTTAACACACAGCCGCTTTATCAGGTCCTCCCTGTTTTCTTGAAAGTTCTTCCTTTGAAAGAGGACAAGGAAGAATCAATAGCTGTATATAGCTGCATCTGTAATCTCGTTTTATCATCTAATCCTCAGGTACTCAGATTATTATTTTTTTTTATGCCCTTAACTTCTCAAATCATGTTTGTTTTGAACTACATTTTTCCGACTTCTTTAATTTTTTCTTTTATTGCGGTTTTGTCAATTTGTTTTCTTCCATTTGCAGATCCTGTCTAACGTTCCCCAGCTGGTTGATATATTTGCCCAAGTTGCTTCATCACCCGAAGAAACACCTGAAGTCAAGACGCAGATAGGCAGGGCATTCTCTCACCTGATGTCAGTTTATGGTCATCAGATGCAGCCTCTTTTGGGCAATCTTTCACCCTCGCACGCTAATGCCCTAGCGGCTATCGCTCCTAAGAGTTGACGCATAAACAAAGTCAGCCTACAAAATTTTGTTCTATTTGTGGTCCGTTCTCGCTATTGAGCTGCTCCCTTTGGACATTCTACGCCAAACAGATGTTGAGACGATAGCCAGAATGAAAGTTGGTTACAGCATAAATGATTTTTTCAAATGGCGTGCTGAGGGAGATGTACATGATTTCGTGATATAGGGAAGTACAACAATATTTACAGATAATTCATCATTAGCGTTTTTTATTCAATGACAGGTAATGACATTTATTTTTTCTTTGAATTTTAATTTTTGGTGTGAGAATTTGTGGTTTGTAATTTTAATGGAGTTGGGCGATGTGTTGTCATCCCAACCATTTTTTTCTTGTGTTATCATCTATGGCTGTAACCAGTGATTTTATTTATTTATTTATTTTTGTTGACATTCTTTCTCTATAAGTTATGATTTTGATGGGTTTGTTTGTATAAATGTTGTTCGACATGAATTGTAAATTTTTTTCCCTTCCAATCTCTGTAATTTGCTTCATTCATACCTTCATCCTGTGAATAAATAAATCAATTGATGTACAGTAAACCCATTAATAGAAGCGTGATAAATCATAAATAATGGAACAGGCGCTGACTTGAGAAAGAAAGAGGTCGAAAGGTCGAATTGGCGTTGAGTCGATTATAGATGAAACATAAATAAATGTACCAGAAAAATTGAAAAAAGAAAAAGAAAAAGAAAAAGAAAGTTAATTATCTAAATCAATTTATATATCTATAATCTACAATATATTAAAATATCACATCAATGGAGAATTATTTTTTGAACGATTTTAACCTCCCTATAATTTATTTATTTCAATAATATTTTACTTTTTATTTTTCGATATGTAATAAATGCTACATAATTATTGTTATTTATGAAATTTGTGTTATTAATTAATTAATTAACATTCATATTAATCTAGATTTAATGAATTTTCACTTGATAAACTTACATGAATCTAGAGTTATTATAGATAAATTTATTCATATTCATGTATCTGAAAATTTTAATGGGTGTTTAAATTTGTGTATTAACAATTAATTTTTATGAATCAAATGTACTATAAAAAGATTGCTCATTTATAGTATTTCATCATTACCAAAAATTTGAATCATAGAAATTGAGTTTTGAGAGTACAATTTTTTTCTCTTAAATTTTTATGCTAAATTTTATTTTTTTTAATTTGTCCAAGACTCATCAAATCTTTCAACAAATTGGTATCAAATATTTATTTTACATCAATTATAAACTTTTTTTTAGAATAACGTGCAATGCACATTCAACTTTGACTAGTGTGAATAAAAACACTCATTAAACTTGAATATTGATGATTGTTTGGTAATCATTAATTTATTTTATGATTTGCTATAAGATCATTTTTAATCATATATTCACAAAATAAAATATTTTACACTTGTAACAAAAAAAATTCCCTACTTTTTAACCACACTTCCTACAAAAAAAAAAAATCGTTATTCAAAAATTATTTTTAAATAATAATGGTTGTTAAATAGGCTCTTACTTTTCGCTTGACCACTTCTAATGTCAATAGAAAACAAGACAATTAATATATAACATTTTATTGTGTTGTTAAAATTAAATTAAATGAGAAATACAGAGTGAATGGGAATGGGAATGGAAAAAAAATATCAAGTCAAGATGTAAACTATATTGAGCTTTAAATTATTATACATTTCTTTCGAATAAAATTAACATGCAATGACATGATAAGTAAAAATTTCTTAATAAAGTGGATTGAGAGAGGAAATTATAAAGAGTGCAGTTGATAGGATATATCCCTATTTGGTAGGGATTAAAATTCGAATTTTAATTTAAATTAAAGTCAACATTTAATTTTAATCACATATTTTATGAGAATAACAATTTTTCAACCACATATTTCATTAATTTTTTATCAAAATTTACTAAAAATCTGATTTTAATCCCTACCAAACGAGAGCACAATGTTGTACCTTTATGGGTCGTTAAGTCCAAGTCGTCGGGCTCTATATGTTCAAAGTTTTTCCCCTTTTTCCTGGGAAAACATTAAAACCGGTCCATCTAGTGGTTTTATAGTTAGACCGGTTGGTAGACTAGTTTTTGCTCTTTAGTTGTACGGTCCAGTTTTTGGTCAGTTCTTAATTTTTTTTCGATTGAAGAGGCTATAGTCCAATTCAATTTTGACAAAATCAATTGATATAAACAATTATAATCCCACTTGATTTGCATTTAGTAGAAATTGACTTACGATTTGCTGGCACTTAAGCCACTTAAACATAGACACTTAGTAGGGAGCCTTTTGCAGATGAATAACCAAATTTCACATAACAATGTTACAGAAGAAAAAAAACTTACTTCATAGTATTATTTACAAAACTCATAAAGATTTAGAATAATGCTACACGTATCGAATTTTTTTACCGAATCTTTTACTTAGCACTCACAACAGGGGTGGAGACTATGGATCGTCATTTTTAAATTCACGCGGTGCCTGCCATACATTGTAAAAGTGGGGACACCATTCGATAACCCCTCGAATACATATATATTTATCCGAAGATTTATAGTATTTGCATACTAACTCAAAACTAATTCAAAAGAGAAGGAAGCTTTTTGTTTAACTTCAAGATAAATGACCAAACATTGGTTTATAAGTAAGACATATCAAGTAAGTTGATAATTATATATATAGCCTAGTTACTTCATAATTCTCTATGTTTGCTGTTGCTTTAAGTTTGCAACTATTTTTAGCTACTTTATCAAAGACTTTATTTACATAAAAATCTGTAACAAAAATATGAATAATATTGATGCCTATCAATCATCTCAACCAAGAAATTACCTTCTCTCTCAATCCTTCAACATAGTTTGCCAAAATTGAATTTTCACTTGTCTGTCCAAAAAAGATAAAAATATTTTAGGTTATAATCAAAGTCAGCCTCAAAATTTTGACTTACAATGACATTTTGCATTTATGATAATATTACAAATTTAGTTATGAAAATAAAGGGCATTTAAAGAACGCATACTGAATCTTATTATTATTATTATTATTATTATTCAATCATCTCAACCAAGAAATTACCTTCTCTCTCAATCCTTCAACATAGTTTGCCAAAATTGAATTTTCACTTGTCTGTCCAAAAAAGATAAAAATATTTTAGGTTATAATCAAAGTCAGCCTCAAAATTTTGACTTACAATGACATTTTGCATTTATGATAATATTACAAATTTAGTTATGAAAATAAAGGGCATTTAAAGAACGCATACTGAATCTTATTATTATTATTATTATTATTATTATTATTATTATTATTATTATTTTAAGTACAGCGTGGGAGGGGTTTTAGAGCATGTCATAGTTTTCAAGAGAGGTTTTCAATTAAATTGGAGACTTTAGACCGGTACACATGTTATATTTTTTTTTCATTGTTTTGTAGGCTAAATTAAAAGAGGAAAATTATAATGAATTCATAATACTAGCACTTTTCGCATCTAATTTAATATCAAAAATCAAACCTTTTAAAATTGTTAGAACAATCAACATTACCCAAGGATTTCTGTTTTGCTCTAATAGAAGCTATGTTTAATATAATCAATATATGGATAAAATAGTTCTCGTGGAAACGATTACTTGCTTATCAATATTGTACACTTAGTGAAATTTTGACAATCACTGTGCAAAACTTACTGAAAATTCTATCATTATTTTATCAATGGAGGTGCAACAGTAACAATATTAATAAAAAAATATTTATAAATATTAATTAGTATTTGGTGCACCAAATTAGGATAAATAGATATTTTTGTTAGAAAATTATAATGAATAAGTCTGTACTGTTATTTAATTTTTATTCAGAAGATACTCATTTAAATTAATAACCATAAAATGTGCACAAGCTTAAGGTTTAGAGTTTAGGCTAGATAAGAAACAATAAATGATGAACATATTCATTTTAATCTACCATATTACTCTTTATATTGTATTATTTATTATAGTTTTATACTAAATTCTTTATACGATCTATTGGATATGTTATAGGCAAACCTAACAGTACAAATTTTATATCTTTTATTTTCTTAACTTTATTTTTAGTTACACCTTGAAAATTATAAATAATGGGCCTAAAATTATAATTTTATATATTCTAGCTATTGTATTTCAGTTCTAACTGAAACAACCTTGTGGATCAATGATCATGGTTGTACTTCTGTGGAATTAGGACAATGATTTTTGGTTGGAGGAAATATTATTATATCTTGTAAATTGATTTTTATTTTAAATAGGAAAAGGATGAGGGATCAGACAAGTTTGAACTATATTTTGCCATTTTTAATATTTCAATTTATTTATTTTATTGCAATTCGTATATTTATGTCTAGCAATAAGATTGTGTATCATGATTGTTTTAGTACACGGTGGCTCTTATGATAAATTTTTAAATATCTACATAAATTTCAAAATGGAATATCTAATTAAAGTTAAAAAATTGTAATAAATTTTAATTTCTGGAGATAAATTGTGTACCTGAATGTGTAGATGATAGCAGAATCTAGTTTGAGAGACATGAAGAGTAGATGCACTTTTGATGCAAATGCCTTGCTCGTCTTCCAATTTCTGCAGCAATTTTGTAAATGCATTATTATTTTCCATGCAAATTTGAATGATAGCTTCTCCCTCTTTAACTTCATTTACAGAAACTGTAGTGCCACTGCCAGTTATTTGCTGTGAATTCTGAGCAGGACTAATTTCAGCACTCTCTTCTGATTGAGTTATATAGTTTTGTTTCTTGAGCTTAAGTGTTTCTATCTCGTTTTCGAGATCCGGGATGTACTTAAGAACACGATCGACTATGGCCGGTGCACTCCATCTCCTCTGTAAGAATTTGAATTAGTCGTAACTCATGCACCACTCATTTATATCTATTTATAAACAAAACCATTTATTAACAATTTCCAAACAAGAAAACATCTGTTTTTGTGGTAGTGTTGCTTGCATTTAATCTTAAACAATTGGGACCTCACCTTTGATCTTGATCTAGAATAATCCGGAAGGAGTGCACGGAGAGCAAGATAAGACGCGTTAAGCTTCATCCTTCGAATTCTCTCATTGGCATTATGATTCATCTTCTTGGCAACTGATGTCCCTTCTTCATCTGCACTTTGTTCTTCGACCAATCTTTTCTGATTTTTTAAGTCCTCATTTACTGGGCTGTACTTTATTTTCCTTGTCTTGGAATTATTTGATTTATTTTGCCTATACAACCTCCTTGGTTGTGGCTGCACTAACGATGGTGCTGCTGCACCACCACCACCATTCTCCACCGTAGCCAGCGCCGGAGGTTCACAATTATTGATGGCAGTCTCAGAAATGCTGTACTGTGTAACTGCTAGCTCCTCTATATTTTGTAAAAGTGGCCATGATTCATATTCCGAAGGATCAATAGGGCATAAATATTCTGAAACCTCAAGATTCATTTCTGGTAAACTTGACATTTACCCAAGGGACTAGATTGAAAGAGATTAATTTCTGATAAAGATCAGTACATAGGACACAAAAATAATTGATTCTTACTTCGTACTACTTCGTAGAGAGTACTATCTGAACTAGTACGTCCTTGTACTTCAAGGATCCGCCACTCCTGGTGGTCCAAACCCCAATCCTAATTGCTTTCTAAAATTAATTTTCACTTCTGCAACCCTAGAAATCTTAACCCTATATAAATTTTATGAACCCTAGAAATCCTGCATAAAGATAACATTCGCAATATCAGTGTATTAATTTGTGCCTACACAAACCTAAATGTATTATATTATAAGCCAAAATAACACCCAGTAAAATAAATAATTCAAGAATCAAGAACAGAAAATCAGCACAAAATAGTCAAATTCTTGATCAAAATAAAGATCAGTTAACGCAGTTTCATGAATTTTTGAGAAATCAACGGACAAGAAATTAACAAGATTACCATATATCAATTTCTTGTCATTACCTTATACATCTGAAGCATCAAAAATCACAGATTATCAGTGTGAATTCGTGATAAAATAACTAGTTAGTGAAGCCGGAGAGATATTTAGCCCTGGTTTGGCTCCCATTAAGGGTGTGTTTGATTACATTAATTTTCCATGGAAAATATCAGTTTTCTATCCAAATTCCTACTTAGGAGGGTGTATTCAATTGAGACTTTAATGACTTTTTGAGATTTAAAAAATTTAGGGGTATTCAATTGAGATTTTTTGAGACTCTCTAAAAGTCATGGTGTATTCAATTAAAACTTTTATAGACTTTTAAAAAGTCTCTAAAAGTTACGGTGTATTTAATTAAAATTTTTTAGAAGTCTCTATAAGTCTTACGGTATTCAAATTTTAATGACTTCTAGAGACTTTTATAAAAGTCTCTGAAGTACTAATTTTTAAGCAGAAAGTACTCATATAATATCTTAAAATTTGTCTCTCATTAATCACAAGATTTTAGGAGACTTTCACGATCTTTTTTTTTTTCCAATCTTTCTTTCCTTTAATCTTTTATGGACATGTATAATTAAAACTTATTTTTTATTTATTATATTCCATTTATTTTTTTTTCTCTCTCTTATTATTTATCTCTATTTCTATAAAAAAAAAAAATTAAATTGGATTCTTATAACTTTTTTTTCTTTTTTCATTCATTTTTTGAGAAAAATACCTATTTTTTTTATTAAATTATGAAAATTTATAATTAAATTTAAATATATTAATTTTTAAAAGTATACTATACTAATAATATTAAATCCTATATATATGTATACTTTTGATTATTAATTATTTAATTAAAGTCTTAAATTTTTATTTTTTCAAATTCTTTTTTATTATATGGGAAGAAGAAGAGGAAAGAAAATGGGATATGAGAATCGCACATCAAATTCATGTGAATTCTATTTCAAATGAAAGTTTTCAAAAATCTTTTGAATTCCACAAAAGTCTATAAAAATTTTAAAATGAAAATTCATAGAAG